GGCGGAAGGATCGCCGGAGCCCAGCAGGTCGAGGTTGCAGTGGCCGGGAGCGGCCACTGTGCTCCAGTCTGGGCGACAGTGAGACTCCAACTCAAAAAAAAAAAGCAAAAAAAACCCCCAAATCCTATTCTCTAAAGAGACTTCAAAATCTTAGCACTATAGTAAGCAGTGCTTATTTTTAGATACTTCTTTTATAATTTCTTATGCTATGCATTAATAACTATTAGTCTTGCTGTATCCAGGGAACACTTGTCATCCAAAGCCAAGCAGATTTGTGGATCTGCTGAAATCATGAGTTTCTCCAAGAAAGAAAACCAGTCTGTATTTTATGAATTATAGAATATTTGCAGTTTAAAATTTAGTAGGGAAAGATAGTGGTTTTGTTTTGTTTTACATGGTGCTTTTTAAGGCATAGGAAAATATGTCTGACAGAGGTAAGAAGCATCATTTCTTGGTAGATATAGGGAGAGATAAGATTCTAGGCCTCTACATCAATTTCAGCTACTAGGAATCTATCCTCTCTCTTCCTGGCCTCTAGGAAACCACAGCTTCTTCAGGGAGTCTATGCCATGGGCTTCAATCGACCGTCCAAGATACAAGAGAACGCGTTACCTATGATGCTTGCTGAACCGTGAGTATGCACAGCAGCATGCTCCCTTCCCAAACTTCCCAAACTTGATCAAGTAAAGTCTTCCATACATAGCCATTATTGTGCCTGAGAACAAAAGAGGCCATTTGGGGCAACATGTTTCCTCAGGAAAACAGCTTGGGCAAGTACAGAAAGAATCACATGGAATTGGGTACAGTTTCTGCCTTTTCCACTTAACAAATACATACTGACAGAGAAAGAAACTGCTTTCTTCTGTGCAGTTTTTAAAAATGGGGTCTGAAATTATTTTGGAATTTTTGAGATCTATAAAAAGATATAAAGAACAATACCAGGCCGAGCACGGTGACTCAAGCCTGTAATTCCAGCAATTTGGGAGGCTGAGGCAAGAGGATTGCCTGAACCTAGGGGTTCGAGACCAGCCTGGGCAACTTGGCGAGACCTTGTCTCTTCAATAAATCTAAAAAATTAGCTGGGCATGATGGTGCACACCTGTAGTTCCAGCTACGTGGAGGCTGAGGTGGAAGGATCGCCAGAGCCCAGCAGGTCGAGGCTGCAGTGGCCGTGAGCGTGCCACTACACTCCAACCTGGGCAACAGTGAGACTCCGACTCAAAAAAAAAAAGAACAATAC